AAAATAATTTGATTTTTTATTTTATCGAATATCATTGGAATTTCATTTTAAAAAAAATTATAATTTTTTGTAATGATATTAGCAAACATTTTGTTTTGTACAATATTTCATAATTATTTTTTTAGATTTTATTCAATTGTTTGATTAAATACCATTTGATCTTTTATTTTTTTATGGGATTTTATAACGTTATTTATTTTGTAGAAATAACGAGTATTTTTTTATGGTTCTCGACCATGATTTTGACTGACGATAAGAAAAAGACTCACCATAAAAGAAATTTCTTGCTGCAACAAAAGAACATGCTGCTAATGGCCACACATTTCTTTTTGCTACAAAAATAAAATAAAATGAATAAACTAGTCACAATCTAAATCCCATCCCACCTTTCCTCGGATTTAAGCCTGAAACTTTCTAGTAGAGTTCTAAATTTTGGACAATTAAATTTCCTGTTTTTCCTTCAACCTAGCCAAAAGCACCTGCAGCAAAGATCTAAAACAACTCTTGACCTCTAATTGCTCCAATCCAATATAAAAATCTAGAATTATTTTGAATTTGGATCACTTTAATTTTGATAAAAAACATGAAATTTATAATTTTATTATTGTTGTTGTTGTTGTGACAGTGATGGTGGTGGTTGTTGTTAAAAAAATAAAGGCATATTGTCGTGTTGAAATTATGAGACCCGGGCTTGGAGAAGGAGAGGAGGAACTGCCGGAGGGGTTTGGTGGAGCTTCTTTATGCCATATTTCTATCATGATAAAGTGGAGAAAAGAGAAGGGGATTTAATGCACAAATCTATCCTTGTCAAGAGGACCATTACACAAGAAGACAACAATCCAGACATGAAAGAAAGCATTATTATTAAAAAATAATATCATCGAAGGGACGAACCTGTTTTGTCCATTCATTAACACCTGCCCTTACTTTAATCCTTTTAAGAGACAACAAACAACTCTTACGTAACCTTTAAATTGAAAAAAATAAAAAAAAAATCCCTCTTTGCTGATTCAAAAGAAAATTAGCCCGCAGACATGTCTTTTACCTTGTACCATTAGAGCTACGAATTAATAAAACATTATGTTTATAACGTTAGAGAAAAAGAAAAAGGAAGTCTTAACTTGTTATCCAGGTAGTAGCAGGTGGTATTTGTTTATTGTTCCCTGATTAAAAAAAAATGAAGGAGGGAGAGATATGAAAAAGTTTATTTTTTTTAATATTATAATATCCTTGTTATAAAATCAGGATGGATCTGGTGGGTTGACCCAAAATTATGTCGACTCGAGGCTTAGACTAGTCCAAGTTTATAAAAATAAAAGAATGATTGACTCGACTTGACCTTAATAAAAACCTATGTTGACTTAAGATAAAACATGGGTAAAACTTCTTGATTTTTTTTTTAAAAAATAGGTCAATCGAGTTGACACTCCTAACTTGTGACTTGAATCTTGTTTTATGTTAACTTTTAAGTCAAGTTTTAAAAGAATGTCTATGTCTCTAGAGACATGTTTATGTCTCTTTCTCTTTAACCAAACATATTTTTGTTTCTGTTATTTTTATTATTGTTATTTCAGGACAGTAACTAAATGCTACATTAACGTGTGTTTGATATCATGATGTATTATAATCTTTAAAAGTATTTTTTAATTAAATACGTGTTGAAAATGATGTTTTTTTGATTTTAACATAATATATTAGAACATTCAAAATACATTTTTAAGTAAAAAAAAAGATTTGAAAAGTAGGTTGTAATGTAAAAAAAAAAAAACACTTGATACCTCATTCCAAAGTTAGTTTTTAGTATAATTTAAAAAAAAAATTCAAATATTTGGTGAAAAAAATTACTTTATATATATGGTAATTTGTTTTTCCCATAGCATAACAAAGTGTTATGTTATGGGAAAAATAAATTAATTAATGGTTGATGGATGAAAGTACTTTTTACATGTTATTTTTACCTAAAATTTATGTTAAAAAAAGATCAAATATAGGGTAATGATTTAATATCTCTAAACTCAGTTATATGATGCGTCTAAGTGTTTATGGTTCTGGTAATTTATCAAAGCCAACATTTCTAAATTCAGCAACGCGCTAAATCCAAATATATATTGGTATATTTTTTCAATCTATAAAAATACTTTAATAAGCATAAGATAATCTTTAATTCCATAAATTTTTTTTGAGTACCAGCCAATAACCAACTTTATCTACTAAACATCACTTATCGACTATTAGCCATTTTAACTAGAAAAAATAAGAAATTGCTTAAATCATAAAATTAATTAATTATTCAACACATTAATCTTATTATTAAACTCGTTGAATTTTATAACATCATCAAGGGGTAATTTCCATTAATACTCAATCAAGATTAAACATTCTCTAAAAATTAACTAACAATAACTTGAAAGGATTGACATGATGGTCAAGGGATATGCTTCCTCCTTTATAGGGTTATCCTTAACATTAAATAAAAATAAAAATTATTTTAAAGCTTAAGAAACTCTAACTAATGTTATTTTTAATAAAAAAATATCGTTAAATTTTTTTAAGTACAACAATTATCTTTATTCATGAAAACTAATATAAAATTAATCATTAAAGTCTAAAAACCATTATTACTACCATGCTTGATATATTACACCAAAATAGAATATAACATGAACATATTAAGAAAAAGAAAAGAAACCCCATATGGAGTGTAAAATTAGGCATGATCAAATAGGACTATTTTCTTCTCAAAATCTTTTACTTTTTTTTTTCATTATGTGGGAGTTAGAATTAATTCTTGTTTATCTACTTCTAGCCATTGGGGGGGGCACGTCTGTATTCAGCTACAAAATTTATTTTGTATGCAAGAAGTTCTGTTTTTTTATTAATGCGGGCTTTAGGTATCGTTTTCTATACTTCCAATCAGCTGCATATGAGTTAAACTTGTTAACAGAAGTCTTCTTTCGTTTCTCGACGATAAAGTAAGACCAAGTTCATGAGCTTATTATCCTAGATCAGAACAAGTTGATAAGATCTCTTTTTTTACGCCCTCGTGTCCTTCCCACGAGGCGACATAGGGATGTAAAAAGAAAAGAAAGGGATGGGGTTTCTCTCTCTTTGTATAGCGGGCCCTAGGTGAAGGCTCGCACAATAGGCTATTAACTTAATGGTAGAGCGCACCCTTGATAATTGCGTCGTTGTGCCTGGGCTATGAGGGCTTTTAGCCACATGGATAATTCAATATGTTTATCAATGCTTGGTCCTGAGATGTGGATCATCCAAGGCACATTAGCATGACGTATTTCTTCTGTTCGAACCGTGGTTTGAAAGCAAACCTCTCCTCAAGAGGATAGATGTGACACTTTAGATGAGATCTATTATAGATTTGACTTTCTATTCACTTGTGGGATCCGGGTGGTTCGGGGGGGGCACCATAACTCCTCTCTTCTCTAGAATCCATACATCCTTTATCAGTATATGGACAACTATCTCTCAAGCACAAATTTAGGTTCAACCTTAATGGGAAAATAAAATGGAGCACCTAACAATGTATCTTCACAAACCAAGAACTACGAGATCACCCCTTTCATTTTGGGGCAATGGAGGGATCGTACCATTGAAGCCTTTTTTTTTTCATGCTTTTCCTAGAGGTTTGGAGAAAGCTGCAATCAATAGGATTTTCATAACCTTTCCTTCCTGAAAGGAAGAACGTGAATTTTTTTTTTCCTTTTTGCAGGGATTAGGATCCACATATATTTGGTAAAAAGAATAATCTTCTCCTTTAAGAATAATAAAAAAAGGAAAGTGTTCAATTGGAACATGAAAACGTGACTGAATTTGTCCTAGTTACTCTTCGGGAATGAGTGGATGAAGGTAGGAGCTTTTCAATAGATGAAAATGATCCAATGACTTCGAGAATTGAACGAGAAACCGTATGAGGTGAAAATCTCATGTACGGTTCTGTAGAGTGGCAGTAAGGGTAACTTATCTAGTAAGTGGACCTAACCTATTGAATCATGACTATATCCACTATTGTAATAGTCAAATTTGATATAGATGAAATTAGAATAGTAGATCCGCTTTTTTCTTTTATTTCTATATTTCTTTGGACTTCAAAAAAAAATCTATCAATATTTCTGATTCCATCTTTTTATTCCTAGTTATCTAGTTATTCTATAGGAATAAATTACTATTTCCTTCCTCCATTCCACATAAAAGTTTATTTGAAGTCACAATATAAAATATAATAAAGCATATTAAGAGAATTAAAAATATCTTTCTTTGATTTCAAAATACTATATATATATATATATATATATATATATATATGTGTGTGTGTGTGTGTGTGTGCGTGCGTGCGGAGTGGGGTGGACGTGTTTTTTTTAATTACAGGTATATTTATTATGACGTAAATAGTTTTTTTAAATTGTATAAGAAAGCAGAGTGGGGTGGACGTGTTTTTTTTAATTATAGGTATATTTATTATGACATAAATAGTTTTTTTAAATTGTATAAGAAAAATACTAGTATGAACTACAAACAAAATGACACTAGCTATATAGTTAGATTTTTTTTTTCCATGGGTATTTTCGAGTTAGAATACCTTCGAAGAGAATCTTAATAATGTTTTTATATTGGCTTGTTGCATTTAGATGAGTTTTTCATAATTCTAATTAAAAAAATTTAAACTCTAAAGATAAAATGTAATTTTTTTTAACCATCAAATGAACTTCTAAAATTATTCAAAACGCCATTACAACTTGAAGTTGGAGTGCGCAAGAACCATAAATGTGCTAAGGAAAGTCAAACGGTGAAAAAAAAAGCAATTTTTAAGGAATATTTGCTTCATTATTCTTTTTGTCATGTTCAAGTTAAAACTACTTGGAGTTTGCGTTTGACCGAGGAAAATTAAATCAATTTTTTTTTTTTTATCATTCATCAATTACTGACCAGCAGTATTTTTTTTTTTAATTACTATGCTTGTTTAATGTAATACTCCAAATATATGTAAAAATACAACAAAGCCGAAAGAGAGACGTTGGATTAGAAAGGGCGTGGAGCATGTGGGCTTCTTATGTTCTGATTCTCCAAATGTATAAGAAACAATACATCCCTTTTGATTTCTTCAGTTTTTTTTAATAAATGATTCTTAAATTCAAGATCAACCCAGATTTTTGTTTTTCTAGTTTTTAACATTGATTTCTAAAAAAAGTTTGGTTCTTAAAACTTATCAATAAGTAATGTTATTATCTACTTAAGATTTTGCTTGATTGCTTTTTGTCCTCTTTTGTTGTCTTTCCTTTTGTTCTGTTCTTCTTTATTTAAAGGTTCCCCTTTTCTTATTGAGAATCGAGGAGGATATAGATATATAGAGATTGCATTAAGGTGGTTGTTGTAATAGATTGCGTGAATGGAAGAAGGCAACACAAGGAGTAGCAAGTTCAAGAGGGTGTGTGTGTTTTGTGGAAGCAACTCTGGCAACAGACAAGTCTTCAGCGATGCTGCTATTGAATTGGGAGATGAACTGGTTGGTCCAATAAACTCACTTTTTCATAGATATTGTTTTCATTGACTAAGATTGCTCTTGTGTTGGTTGGTCTCAAATATTTGACCTTTTTTATACCTTTTGTCATTTATGGATACCTTAAAGGTGCTGTGAGGTGTTTGATATATGTAACTCAGTGCACTTATTTGGATAGTTCCTGTATTAGAATGGGTTTATGTTTGCAAGCAAGACTTATCTTGGTTTGTACTGATTAATGGTCTAAATGACTCTTACCTGTGAAAATGGAAATGGTGTTTAGCTTTTGTTACAAAGATTAGTATGGTTTCTGGTTTGCTGATTTTGAATGTGGCTTGTAGGTGAAGCGGAAGATAGACCTGGTCTATGGTGGAGGAAGTGTTGGACTGATGGGTTTGATATCCCAGAAAGTGTATGATGGGGGCTGCCATGTTCTCGGGTAATCAAGTTGCATTGAGGAATATACTCTTCGTATTTTTTTTTTTTTTTTTTTTTTTTTTTTTTTTTTTTTTTTATTATCTGTTTTGATTAAATTCAAGGTGTTTGATCTTTTCCTATTATATTGCAGTGCTAAACTAATAGTTGCTCCTCAAATGCAGGGTCATTCCAAAAGCACTCATGCCTCTTGAGGTACCTATGCTTTTAACTCAAACAAAATTTTGCCCTCTTGTCAATGTCTTCAACTATGGTGCCTTTTGTGAATATTTTTCTTATTCTGATTGTAATTTGGACTACCGGTATGCTGACAAGGTTTTTTTGTTTGAAATTTGATTTGCTTATGGTTTTCACTCTTTAAGTGCTTAGGTTTTACAAGTTTTTTCTCTTATTCATTAACTCTTATCATTTTGACTCCTTTGAAATATTAGTAGTGCTTTTCCCTTTGGACTTTCACCTGTTTGTATTTTGCTTTAGCATTCTAATCGCCATCTGGACTTTTTGGTTAGAAATTCACCGGACCCTTTATAATATTAATTCTAGCTCTCTTTGCTGAAAAGAAGTTATACTTCTTAGCAGTAAAACTGTGATCTGTTGTTCACCAGTAAATTGTTTTCTCCAACATTCCAGATATCTGGTCAAACTGTGGGAGAAGTAAGAACTGTTGTGGACATGCATGAGCGCAAAGCTGCCATGGCTAAAGAATCAGATGCTTTTATTGCTCTTCCTGGTAATGATCTTTGCCGTTCTCATCAATTTTCTCAATGAACAATTAGCAGATATAATTTCACACCTGAGAAGCAGAAGTAGAGATCTTAATTCATGTTCTCTAACAGGATTTCTTTAGTTTTTAAAATGCTTTTGATAACAAGTGATAATACTTGAGTATGCTTGTAGGAGGATATGGAACCATGGAAGAGCTATTAGAGATGATCACATGGTCGCAACTTGGAATTCATAAGAAACCGGTAACCTTCCATTCTCCATGCTTGAGGATCATATCTAGGCAAACTAAATTTCCATGTTGAAACTGAGTGGTACTCTGCACAGGTTGGTTTGCTAAATGTTGATGGATACTATAACTGTTTGCTTGCATTATTTGACAATGGTGTCGAACAAGGTTTCATCAAGCCCCATGCTCGGGACATTGTTGTCTCTGCTCCAACAGCCAAAGAACTTATGGAAAAGATGGAGGTAAAATCTTAGATACTTGGGGTTGGAGAAAATTTACTTTTTGAGAAAAAATAAAGAAAAAATGTTAAAAAAATAACTAAACAAGGGAGGATGCATAACTATAAGACTTGCTTGTAGTTGCACCAATTGTAATTCACATGATTTGTTACCTCAAAATGACGGGAGCAATTTCACTACTCTTTTTTTAAAACAAAAATGTTTGATGATAAGAATACATTTTCTTCTTAAATTTACGATGAAAAGTTGCAAAATTGCCAGTGATGTGGATTACAGTTTGTTGGTTTGATGAGACCACAAATTGAAAATAATGTATGGAAAGAAAAGCTGGTTCAAACTTGGACAAGTCCGTCCTCATGTTTACCGACATGATGTCTTCCATTAGTTACTTTTGGAATGTAGAGAATGAGAGTGCATTTGCTACATATTCCATCCTTTCTGTTGCATTTCCCCCCTGTAATTTCAAATGGGACATTGCCAACCACTTGGCTTGTAGTTGTTCCAAGAGCCTATCAATAGATTTTTCTTGAAATTAATATTTAGTTACAACTAATAGAGCCTTATTACTTGACAGAATTTTGAACTTCTAAAATTTTTGCAGCAATACACTCCTTCCCACAAACAGGTTGCGCCTCATGAAAGCTGGAATATGGAGCAACTCGGAGACTATCCTAAACAACAGAATGCACAGTGAGGGTTTCGGTGGTAGGTCGTTATCCCAAATTAATTCCTGATGTAATCCATCGTAACTCTGAGCTGTGTAGAAGATTCTTTCTGAAATGGGACCACATAATTGTTGGGTACTATGTACTTTTGTCGTTGTTTTATGGTTTGAAGTCTATTAGAATCATCCATGCTGTTTCAGAACTTTCATTGGTTTATGGTCAGTCAAGCCACTATTTCGGGGTCTTATCTGGTTGTTACCAATTACTGAAAGGCAAAGATACCTTGAAATGCAAACAAATGGCAAGCAGTTTTAGTACAATTTCATCTAATGAATAGTGAATAATGGTCCCTAGAGTGGACTATTTAAGTGCGTCAGTTGGAGGCAACTAAGGTGTTTGGTCGGTAGTAAAGCTATTGGACCACAAGCACCTCATCAATCCAACTTCTGAAAGTCGATTCTGTTGACGACCATTCTTTCACATCAAAATTTATTTTCAGTGTCAAATGGAAGTTGAATTTGGAGCAATTTTCACACGATGGAAAAAAGGTTTCTGTCAAGGCACCTGTAGTCCATGTTTGGTTGTTAGTCATGTTGTCGGTGTTGAGAAAAAATGATCTCCCACGAAATCGTCCAAGTTAAGTTTCACCTTGTGTGAAATAAAAAGAATTATCGGGTTGATAACATGAGTGTTTATATGTGATCAGCGTGACAAGTGGGTTGACAACAAGAGTATTTAGATGTGGCCACCTCACAGTAACTTGTGACGTAAGACCAGACACATCCTGTGCAGTATCGGAGTTGATCTTTCCATGAGAGAGGGCAAAACACTCGGTCAATCCCGCAGCTTCTTATTAGGAGCAGTTTTGCTGTTGGTAGCTTTTCCTAGCAACATGCAAGCTACTGTATGTTTCCGCCACTTGCTTTTGGTTTTACCAAGGTATCTTGCTTTAGGCATAAAAGTAAATCCCGCTGTCATAGGCATTTTGAAGCATCTTGAAGAAAGAACATGATAAAGCTTATCTTGTGATTATCGGCAAGATTTGTGGATGATTACCGGACCCTTTTTTTTTTTTTTTTTTTTTTT